CACACTTTTGCTCTCACCCACATTACCATCTCCCAAGGGATTGAGATTCTGATATCATGTGGTTTGGATCTCTATCCAAACATTGTTCTCTCCCTTTTGTATGTGCTCCTCTCTTTTTCTGCCCATTTGTGCAGCACCTCTTCCACACTGGGTGTAGAGCATACCTGGTACAGATATGGTGCTGTCTCCCATGTAGGATCCTCTACTGCGAGGATATCCACTTTTCAGGGTCATTTCGAATGCTTTCAAAGGGTGCTTCTTTCTTTCCCTCGCACCAGTTCTTCCACCTATTCAGTGTAGGATTCTAGCTATATATGTGAGAAGAGGTATTGCAAGTTATAATTTTCCTATACTGAAAGTGTATTTCCAATAGGTACTTACATTTTCTCACACTCCCCCCCACTGAAAACTGGTGCTTCCATTTTCTGCTGAAACTCAAAGTGTTATTGGTAGAATCGAATTGAGGGAGTCACATGTAGCAGGAGGGTGCATTGTTCTTCTATTGGTGGAGGGTTGCCGCATGATGATATACATGCAGGACACAGTTTAACCACATTGATCGTGGTGTATGTGGGAACTCAAGGCTTGTGGCATGCGAAGAAAGTTTTGCATATAGAGGGCAGCACTGAATGAGAATAGCTATAACTGTGAGAGTAGAAATATCATTTCAGTATAGAAAAATTATAACTTTACACTGAAAAACTTTTGGTATTCATCTAGGAGGTTCTAGAGGTTATGCAAATGAAATTGGAAAGTGTAAGATGAAAGAAAGTATTTTTAACCTTAACATGAAAATCATCTTGCACTCATACTAGTTAGGGTTTGAGTCATGCTCTTAAACCCCATAAATTTACAAATAAAGCTTTTGTAAAATTACTTAATTAGAAAATTGATATTTTGTGTATCAGAAACTTTTAATGTGTATTTAAGTGTTTTACACTCACAAAAAAGAAACCTATCATTCTATAGGTATTTGAAGAACTTGTAGCATTCTGCCACAATTTAATTCTTAGTATTGTTAGCCGACACTAGGCAGCTGGTAAATAATTAAATAGAGTTGTTTAAACATTTGTTTAACAACAAGTAAAAGCTTGGAATGGTCTATTCTTTCATTGGGGGT